CCTGAGTGTCGGGGGCGCGGCGCTTGAGTAAATTGCGGGAAAATCATACGATAATTAATAAATTGCAAGCAAGTTTCCAGCCAGAGCGCGACTCGAAAGTCCCAAGCGAGAGCGCGATCCCTGAATAAAATGCGAAGAAGTCTCAGGCGGGAGCGGGGAGCTTCCTGGCTAAATTATAAGGAAGTTTCAGGCGGGCCCCGTTGTTGTTGTAACCTGGGGGCCAGGGGCACAGTTTGAGCCTCAAGACTTTCCCTGATAAAAACAGGGTGCGAGCCCCGGGAAGGGCACTTCAATTGAAAAATACAATGTGAACTGGAGGGGGGATCAACAAAAGTTATTCTTCAAGAGTGAAAGTTCAACAACAACAAATCTACAGCAACAACAACAACAGCAACAACGGCAGCAACAAGACAAGCGGCAGAGGTAACATCATCCCCATCTCCATCACCATCACCATCAACATATCATCATCACATTTGTCATCATTAACCCATCACCGTCATCATATCATCGTCGTCATCGTTGCCGTCAGCATCGCCATCACCACCACCACCACCATCATCCTCACCATCCTGATCATCATCATCATCATCATCATCATCATCATCATCATCATCAGCAGCAGCATCAGCAGCAGCAGCATCATAATCAGCAGCATCATCATCATCAGCATCATCATCATCAGCAGAATCATCATCATCATATGTAGCATCACCATCATCAGCATCATCATCAGCAGCAGTAGCATCATCATCATCAGCACCATCATCAACAGCATCGCCATCACCGTCGTCATCATCAGCATCGTCACCATCAGCAGCCGCATCATCATCAGTATCACCATCATCACCATCAGCATCAGCAGCAGCATCAGAATGAGCATCAGCATCAGCATCATCAGCATCATCAGATTCATCAGCATCAGCATCATCAGCACCATCATCATCGGCATCAGCATCATCAACAGCATTGTCATCACCGTCGTCGTCATCAGCAGCGTCACCATCGGCAGCCGCATCATCATCAGTATCACCAGCATCACCATCATCATCAGCAGCAGCAGCAGAATCAGCATCAGCATCAGCATCGTCAGCATCATCAGGTTTATCAGCATAATCATCAGCATCATGATCATCTTCGTCATCAGCATCATCGCCATCATCCGCATCAGCATCCGCAGCATCAACATCATCATCAGCATCAGCCGTAGCAGCATCAGTATCAGCATCAGCATCAGCGTCATCAGCATCACCATCATCAGCATGATCAGCATACTCAGTATCACCATCATCACCATCATCATCAGCATCATCATCAACTGCATCGCCACCACAATCGTCATCATCATGATCAGCATCATCATCATCAGCGTCATCATCATCATCATCAGTAGCATCACCATCATCATCGTCATCATCATGATTAACAGCATCGTCATCACCATCGCCATCATCAGCATCAGCGTCATCATCATCAACAGCATCGCCATCACCATCGGCATCATCATCATCACCATCAGCATCAGCATCAGCTTCATCAGCATCATCATCAGCAGCAGCATCACAATCAGCATCAGCATCAGCTTCATCAGCATCAGCATCATCATCGTCATCATCAGTATCAGCAGCAGCAGCAGTATCAGAGTCAGCATCAGCATCAGCTTCATCATCATCATCATCAGCATCATATTCATCAGCATCATCACCATCATCATCAGCTTCATCATCATGGGCATCAACATCAGCCGTCATCCATCGGCACCATCGGCATCATAAAGATGCGAAAAGGCATGATCACAATCATCAGCAGTGACAGCGTCGTCGTCATCATCAGCATAGTCAGAATCGGAATCATCATCAGCATAGTCAGCACCCACATAATCAGCATTCAACTTGGAATCATCATCGTCAGCAGCAGCAGCACCATCCTCATCCTCATCATGATCATCATCAGCAGCATCATCGTCATCATCATTAGGTCCATCATCCTCACCGTCACTACCAACAACGTCAACATCATCTGCAGCAGGATCCTCATCATCACCACCACCATCATCATGATCATCATAATCGTCGTCGTCGTCACCGCCACCGTCGTCTTCGTCAGACCCATTGCCTTCATCTGCATCGCCATCTTCATCATCATCATCATCATCATCATCATCATCATCAACAACTCCTTTGTCGAACAAGTTCCTCGTCATCATCATCATCCTCCAATGATCATCATGATAATCATGCTCCTCCCTCTCCTCTCCTCCTCCTCCTCTTCCTCCTCGTCATCCTCGCGCTCTTCCTCTTGATCTCCTCCTCATCGGCATCATAATCAGCACCATCACCATCACCATTATCATCATCATCATCATCAGCATCATCAGCATCATCAGTATCATCATCATCATCATCATCATCATCATCATCATCATCATCATCATCATCATCATCATCAGCATCATCATCATCATCATCATCTTACTCCTCGTCGTCGTCGGCGTCGGCGTCAGAAGCAGCAGCAGCAGCATCCTGCTCCCCCATCTCCCACATCCTCCCAGCCCCCATCCCTTCTCCTCCTCATGTCCGTTCCTCCGCGCCCTCTCTGGGGAAACCCAAAAATACCGATACCGCTACTCCCCAGACCTCTTACGGGGTGGGTGCGTGCTGACCGGGACTTCGAGGCGTCCCAGGAGGCCCAAAACGGAGAAAACGGGCGAAAGCTATAGCGGTATCGGTACCTTTTCCTCCTCTGACCCTTCTCCTCCTCATGCCCCGTCCCTCCTCCTCTTCCTCCTCCTCCTCCTCCTCCTCCTCCTCCTCCCTCCTCCCTCCTCCTGCTCCCCTGACCCTTCTTCTCCCCATCCTCGCCGCGCGCGCGGCCCCCTCGAGGCACGAGGCAGGACGAGTACCGCATCGGCCGAGGACGAGCCCTGGAGCTCCTGGTGAGCCCGCGGGCGCCGCGGCACTGTCCCAGGGAGCGCTCAAATGCAGCGCTCCCAGGGCGCCTTCAGAGCGCCCTGGGAGCGCCTTGCCTCAAGTCGGGCACGTCCCTCTACAGTTATGTTGCTCCCATCGTACTTAAAGAGCACATCCCGAAAAAAAGTCCAGCAACCGGAACAGTGTCGAAAGAGTGTCGAAACAGTGTCGACCGAGTGTCTCCCAGGGCCCGACACGTGAAAACCCTCGAGTGTCGGTATTCTTTCTGGTGTTCGAAATTATTTCTGGTGGTCAAGGCGAAAGTAGGTTGGAGCATCACAACTCTACAGGGGGAGTGCTTAAAAGAAATAGTACGGGGTCGATTTTCTCACGATGTTTAACCATGGTTAAGCATGTTTCCATTATGTTCCATTTTTTCTTCCAAACTCCGCATGCAGGAGGACATGCCCGACCTAGGCCTTGCCCTCGAAGGCACCGAATACTCGCGCATCGCGCCCTGGGAGATGCGCAGCGCGCGGTGAAAACTCCGCGCCCCCGCGCTCTCGAGCCGCCCAATCCTGGAGAGGGGCAGCTCTCCAGTCTCGGCTATACGCAAGAGTGACCCTGGGTAAGAGTGACCTTTGGTGCGCGACTTTGGGGGGGGCCGCGGGGGGACCAAACCTGGGCGCGCAAGCAGCTGCTACTGCTTCGTTCTCAGCCATCTGGGAACCCATCGGTGCCCGCATCAAAGATCACTCCGGCGAAAGGTCACTCTTACGTCTCGTCGGCAGTCCAGGTCGGGGCCCTGCTCAGCGCGGCCGCCCGCGCGCTCCCGCGGGCGGCCGGGGCTCTCGTCCCGGGCCTGCGCGAGGCCCAGCCCAGGCCCAACGAGGCCCGAGGCACGCGCGCGGACGAGGGGGGGCCGTGGAACGTGCTGGAAGAAGAAGAAGAAGAAGAAGACGAGGAAGAGGTAGAAGAAGAGGTAGAAGTAGAAGAAGAGGAAGAGGAAGAAGAAGAAGAAGAAGAGGAATAACGAGAAGAATAGGAAGAAAAAGAAGAAGAAGAAGCATCGGAAGAAGTAGGAGAAGAGGAATAATAAGAAGAATACTAAGAAGAGGTAGAAGAAGAAGAAGAAGAGGTAGAAGAGGAAGAGGAAAAAGTAGAATAAGAAAAAGAAGAAGAAGGGAGAAGAGGAAGAAGTAGAAGAGAAAGACCAGCAAGTCTGGGAGCTGTCACGGCCCTGGCCATGACATCCACACCCCTGGTCCAGAGGTCTCCCAAAAGGGTTCCGAGCAGGTGGGGTCGGAGGATCGCGCCGCATCGCCGATGCATCGGCTGCGTCGGCGATGCACCTGCGACGCCAGCGTGGGGAAACTCGGGCCCACATCGAGCCGCATCGCCGACGCATCGACGATGCGGCGAGACCCTCCGACCCGATCTACTCGGAATCCCTCTGGGAAACTAAGAGTACCAATACCGCTAATCCCTGGACCTCTTGAGGGGTGCATGCTGACCAGGATCTCGGAGCGAACCCTGCCGTGGCAACGAGGGCTTCCCAGGAGGCCTCAAGAAGAAGAAAACGAGGCAAGGGTAGCTTCTCCTCCACCTCCTCCTCCCCATCATCCTCCTCATTCTCCTCATTCTCCTCATTCTCCTCCTCCTCCTCCTCCTCCTCCTCCTCCTCCTCCTCCTCCTCCTCCTCCTCCTCCTCTCCTCCTCCTCCTCCTCCTCCTCCTCCTCCTCCTCCTCCTCCTCCTCCTCCTCCTCCTCCTCCTCCTCCTCCTCCTCCTCCTCCTCCTCCTCCTCCTCCTCCTCCTCCTCCTCCTCCTCCTCCTCCTCCTCCTCCTCCTCCTCCTCCTCCTCTTCCTCCCAGATGGTCATCACCACATCACCCCCCGCTTGGACGCCCCCGACACACGCCTCGGGTCTTGCTGGCTAGAAGTGCCCCTGGCCCAAGGCGCCCCCAGGATGTCCAAGGAGGCCCCCGCGGCCTCCAGAGCACCCCTCACGAGGCCCAGAGGGCCCCAGGGGCTGTAGCGAAAAGCTGGGGGCGCCTTGGGCCAGGGGCAATTCTAGCAACACCCGACCCGCCTCTCTCAGCTGGCCGAGCCAGGTCCTGAACCTGTCGATGGACTCCTGGGCGCCGCGGGAGGAGGGGCGATGAGAGGAGGAGCGAAGAGGGGGGACGAGGAGGAGCGAGGAGGAGGAGGGGGGTGGTAGGATGGATGAGGATGGGGAGGGCAGGGAGCGTGACGGCAAGAACACGATCAAGGACGAGGAAGCGGAGCGCGGCTGCTGAAGCCTGGCCGCGGCAGGTCAGCCCTGCGCGGCAAGGGCGACGAGGAGGGCGGGGCAGAGGAGAAAGCCGCGGGCGGGTAGCACGTCAGTGTCCACGGCATCTCGGTCCCATGTGGATACCGGGCGGCTTTGAACAGGCGCCCCTCGCGGACCGCCTCCGCGGGATCTCGCGCCCCGCGCCTCGCTGTCCAGACCTCGAGGGCATGGGCATGGAAGTGTGCCTCGATCGCGAGGAAGGAGGAGCAGAAGGAGAAGGAGAAGGAGGAGCAGGAAAGCAGGGACGAGGAGGGGGCGGGAACAACAGGGTTGGGGCCTCTCCCACCGCTCTCCCCCACCCCCTCGCCTCTTCGCCCCCTCCCATCCCTCCTGCCCACTCCTCCCCTACCTCGCCTCCGCCTCCACCCCCCCCCCCTTCCTCCCTTCTCCCTGCCCCATGACTCCCCTGAACTCCGACGTCGAGATGTTTCCACAACGTCGACCCCAAGAGGCCTGGACCCCTTCCCCGGGACCAGGTCTTCAGCGTGGGTAGTCTCTCGACACGGACCCGGGGCCCGGGGAGGGACCCTGGAGGCCGAAGATGGCCGAAAGCCTCCCGCCGCGTGCCTGCCACGGCGCGAGCAGGCCGGGATCCCCCCCTCCCCTCCCCCCCCCCCTGCCTCTCCGCCCCGCCCGCCCCGAGGCGGGCCGTCCTCGCCCGGGCTGATCTTGGGCTGCGAGAGCCCCGCGGTGGCCGCTCCGCCCCACCCGAAGCCCGTGATGGGGTTCACGATGACGCAGGCGATCTCGCTGGCGCGCACCCTCCGGGGGTCGGGGCGGAGCGCCGCCCCGCGACGGGGCCCGCCCTCCCCCCCGCGTCTCCGAGCAGGGACCGAGCGTCCCCTCTCCTCCTCCTCCGCCTCCTCCTCCTCCTCCTCCTCTCCTCCTCCTCCTCCTCCTCCTCCAGCCTCCCTTGTGGCCTCGCACGGCATGCCCTCAGAACCAGAGGAGGGCTCGAATAAGGAGAGCCCTGGGCAAAAGCCGTGCTCTCAGAGCATGAAGCCGGCGGCAGGGGTAGAACAAGACGGCCTCAACCAGAAGTGTTCTCGGAACAAGTCGTGCAGACGGCTCCTGGAACAGTCTGTGGTGGGCCCACAGGCAAGCCGGGACGCTTCGCCACTGCTTGACTCCTGCCGCTCCGCCCTCGCGGATGCGCCGGCGGAGACGCAGGGGAGGGCAGGGGAGACGGGGGGCACGGGCGCCCACAACCACATAGTCAGACACGGGGAAGGGGTCCCTGGAGTCGTGGCTGCTGCTGCTTCTGCCTGCTGCTGCTGCTACTTCTCCCTGCGGCTCCTCCTCCTCCCCCTCCTCCTCCTCGTCCTTCTCCTCCTTCTCCTCCTCCTCCTCCTCTGCCTCCGCCTCCGCCTCCGCCTCCGCCGCCTCCTCCTCCTCCTCGTCCGCCTCATCCTCCTCCTCCTCCTCCTCCGCCTCCTCCTCCGCCTCCTCCGCCTCCTCCTCCTCCTCCTCCTCCTCCTCCTCCTCCTCCTCCTCCTCCTCCTCCTCCTCCTCTCATCATCATCATCATCATCATCATCATCATCATCATCATCATCATCATCATCATCATCATCATCATCATCATCATCATCATCATCATCATCATCATCATCATCATCATCATCATCATCATCATCATCATCATCATCATCATCATCATCATCATCATCATCATCATCCTCTCTCTCCGTTCCTTTCCCTTATAAATAAGTCCTCTCTGTCGTGCCCCGAGGCCGGTCGAAAGGGCGTGCCGGGCGTTTCGCATGCGACTTCCTCACCATGTATGACCTTGAAACTTAAAATTGGCAACAGTTTCCCAAATAGTGAGCGCGTGGTTTTCAAAATGTGGCTCTCGCCCTTCGTTTTTAAAGGTCCCAGGAGCTTCACGGATGGAGTGTGGGTTGCTGTCGACATGTGGTTATTGTCTTAGCGCCGCGCACACTCTTCTTTTTTGCAAAAAAACTTCACGGATGGAGGGCAGGCCGTTTTGATAATGTTACTCTCGCAGTGGCGCCGCGCGCACTCGTCTTGAAAAGCCGCAAGAGCTTCACTGAGTAAGGGCGGGCCGTTTTGAAAATGTGGCTCTCGCCCGAGCGTCGCGCACATTCGTCTTAACACATTGCAAGAGATTCACGGATGGAGGGCGGTGTGGTTTCGAAATGTGGTTCTCGCCTTAGCGCCACACACATTCGCTTGAATCATTTGCAAGGGTTTCACAGGTTCACATGTTCAACGTACCAGAATTCAGGGTTGTCAGGGCGCAGCAGTTACGTTGATTCGCGGTGTTGAAGTCCCAGGAACGGCGTTCTGGCACAATTCAGGATCGTCAAAACGCAACAGGCATGTCCACTCGTGGAGTCCCGAGAATGGTCAGGGTCTTCAAACGGTTGTCTCCCACTGGGGCACATCGGTCAGTGGAAATGAACTCTTGTATGGGGCCTATGAAAAGGAAGCTTGCAGGGAGGGCTTATTACAACACCGTTGATGAGTCTTGAGTTTACAGTGGTCCTCCTTCTCCTCGTCCTTCTCCTCCTCCTCCTCCTCCTCCTCCTCCTCCGCCTCCTCCTCCTCCTCCTCCTCCTCCTAAATGCTGCCATTCAAACGCTCGGGTCGCCAAAGCGAAATCAAACCCTTCGGAATCCGTGCGATGGTCCCACTCCTCCGCAACATCATATGCACATTAATCATGCGTTGGCCTTTCTGGGAATCCTGGCAGCACGGAGATCCTGTGCCCAAGCGTGCCCTAGCAGTCGAATGCTTACAAATGTGTAGACGCTTATCAAAAATACACTTTTGACGCAACTATGATCAACTGTATATCCATGGGTGCAAGAATTGCTGGAAAGCATGGAAATCCACCGCCATGGGATTGTCCTTGAAACTTGTAGCGTCAATCACTTTCAACAACTTGCAAAAAGGTTCTGAAACGTTTGAAATCCCATGGATTCCCCAATTGCTGTAAACCCTGGACATGTTGAAATCCAGGGCACTGTTCTGTTGAGCAAATTACACTAGCTTTTCGATATTACCAGTTTCACCGGTGCCATAAGACTTCTAAGCTTTCAAACCATTCCCGAAGCATTGCTTGCACTTAGTTCTCCCTTGCATCAACAAATAAATGGGCCTAGCGAAGATGTTCCACGTTGCCGCCTGTGGTCGTCTCGTGGCCGCCTCGTGCGCTGGGAGGTTCCATCCAGCAAAATGTCGCCACGTTGCCGCCCATGGCCGCCTCGCTGCCGTCCACTGCGCTTGAGGTGTCCGCCGAAATTCCGCCACGTTGCCGCCCGTGGCCGCCCCGTGGCCGCCAACCGCGCTGTGCTTGCATTTAGGGGTGCTTATTTTGGTTTCCAACGTAACTGGACCACATGCCTTTCACCGCATACCTTACACCATAAGTTCCACGACATGCCGCATTGGTCACGCCACATACCTTGCACCACGTAGCTTCCACTATACAGATTGCACCACATAGCTTGCATCACACAGCTTGCACATCCACAGTGCAATAGCTTACTGTTCGGGGTCCACGTTGGCAAACATTGTAACTTGGTTGGATCCCTTGACTTCCAGACTTTAAGCGTTCCTACTCCCCCTTGGGGGGACACAAAGGTACTGACGGATCCGCCACCGTGCCTCTGGGCACGGAGTGGGCGTGTCCTCGGGCTCTTTGCCTAATCCCTGGAGCCCCAGTCCTCAGTCCTCAGGAGATTGCGAGGGCCCGGACCAAAAAATCCAAAGGCTGGCAGGGCTTCCCTTCGGTTCCCCTGGGCTCCCCCGTGTCTCCCCGCGTGACTTCTGGGGCCCAAGAGGACCCCAAGACGGACAAAGAGGGGTCCAAGAGGCCGCCAAGACGGTCCAGGAGGGCCCCCAGACGGACCAAGAAGCATCCAAGACGCCCCAAGAGGCCTGCAAGGCCTCCCAAGAGGCCAAAACTATGGATTGTCTGAAGGTTTTTGAAGATGTTTGGCGTTCTCGCCTGTTCGGCTTCCCGACGCTCCCAGACGGCCCCAGGGGCCCCCAAGACCGCCCCAAGACAGCCCAAGAGGCAACCACGAGGGCCCCAAAACGACCCAAGAGGGTCCCAAGACGACCCAAGAGACGCCCAAGACGGCCCAAGAGGGCTCCAAGATGGCTACAAAAGGGGCCCAAGAGAGAGAGCGCGAACCGAAAATCCGAGCCTTCCGCCCCAAGAGGCCTCCAGGAGGCCCCAAGAGGCGCCCAGGAGACCCAAAGAGGCCCCCAAGAGGCACCCCAGAGGCCTCCAAGAGGCCCAAGAGAGGCCACAAGAGGCCCCAAAACTACCCCCGAAAGGCGCCGAAACAGCCCCCAAGAGGCCTCCAAAATGCCTCCAAGAGGCCCCCGAGAGGCCTCCAACGAGATCACAACGAACATCCAATCGGCTTCATACCACTACCCCGGCACGGTGCGGGATGGATAGATCCGCCGCCCCATGTGGTCTTGCCACAGGGGTGCCTGGCGTGCTGAACCCTACTGGTTTGGTGTTGGTTATTCATTGATTAGTATTAGTATTAGTGCTCGTATTATTAGTTTTATTAGCATTAATAGTTTAAGTATTACTGTTAGTAGTAGTACCAGTAGTATGTTTATTAGTATACGTCGTACTCTTGTTGTGCTCTTCTTATTCTTAGTAGTAGTGATATTCTTATTGGTATTATGAAATAGTACTACTGGAAATGAGTATTATTATTCGTGTTATTCAAAGTATTATTAATCGTCGTGATCTTACGATTCTTCCTAGTAGCTCTTGTTCCTATAGAACTCTACCCTGGGGCTTCGACGCGTCCCGCCGGCCACGCGGAAAGGCGCACAACTCGCAGAACAAGTCCCAATCGCGTCCAAGACGGCCTCCAAGACGGCCTCCAAGACTGCTCAGATGGCTCACGATGGCCTCCAAGTTCGCCCAAGATGGTCCAACATGGCCTCCAAGATGACTAGGAAGGTCCAAGATGCCTCTAAGTCCGCCCAAGACGCCACGCCTCCAGGACGGCCCAAAATGGCCTCAAGATGACGGCACGGCCCAAGAGGCCTCCAAGACGGCCCAAGAGCCCCCCAAGAGGGCATCCAGGAAGGCCCGAAGAGGCCAAACTCATTACGGGAGTTGGGCAAATGCTTCTTTTCTGCCTTCCGACGGCCCGAGATGGCCCGAGACAGCGCAGGAGCCCCCAACGATCGCCCCAACATCGCCCAAGAGGCCTCCAATATGGTACCCCAAACTGCCCAAGACGCCCCCAAGAGAGCCCCAAGAGGCCTCCAATCCGCCTAAGATGACCTCCAAGACGGCCCTGGAGCACCCCCGAAGAGAGCCCCAAGTCGGCCGAGAGAGGCCCCCAAGACGGCTGCCGACGGCGTCAGACGGGCCAGGAGGCCATCAAGACGGCGAAAAAAGGCATAAGATGGCCCAAGACGGCCCAAGAGGCCCCCACGAGGTCTCCACGACGGCCCAAGAGGCCTCCAAGAGGGCCTCCAGGAAGTCCCAATCAGGCCAAAATCATGATTGTCTGTCCCCAGATGTTTGAAAGATTGTTTGCCTGTTCTTCCTCTCGGCCTTCCGACGGCCCGAGACTGCCCAAGAGCCCCCAAAGGTCGCCCCAAGATCGCCCAAGAGGCCTCCAAGATGGCCCCAAAACGGTCCAAGAGGCTCCCAAGACGGCCCCAAGAGGACCCCAAAAAGGCCCAAGAGGCCTCCAAGACGCCCAAGATGACCTCCAAGACGGCCCTGGAGCACGCCAACAGGGCCATAATTCGGCCCAGAGAGGCCCCCAAGACGGCTGCCGACGGCGTCAGACGGGCCAGGAGGCCATCAAGACCGCAAAAGATGGCCCAAGACGGCCCAAGAGGCCCCCACGAGGTCTCCACGACGGCCCAAGAGGCCTCCAAGAGGGCCTCCAGGAAGTCCCAATCAGGCCAAAATCATTGATTTGTCCGAGGTGTTTGAAAGATTGTTTGCCTGTTCTTCCTCTCGGCCTTCCGACGGCCCGAGACTGCCCAAGAGCCCCCAAAGGTCGCCCCAAGATCGCCCAAGAGGCCTCCAAGATGGCCCCAAAACGGTCCAAGAGGCTCCCAAGACGGCCCCAAGAAGGCCCCAAAAAGGCCCAAGAGGCCTCCAAGACGCCCAAGATGACCTCCAAGACGGCCCTGGAGCACGCCAACAGGGCCGTAAGTCGGGCCAGGGAGGCCCCCAAGACGGCTGCCGACGGCGTCAGACGGGCCACGAATGCCTCAAGACGGCCAAAGAGGTCCCCGAGAAGCCCCCAAGGGCCTCCAAGAGGCCCAAGGAGGCCCCCAAGATGTCTCCAAGAGGCCCCCGGAAGCTCCCAGGAGGCCCCAAGAGTGCCCCCAGGGGCTCCCAAGATGCCCCCTCCTCCTCCTCCTCCTCCTCCTCCTCCTCCTCCTCCTCCTCCTCCTCCTCCTCCTCCTGATCTTCCCCGCCGTCCTTCTCCTTCTCCTCCTCCTCCTTCTCCTCCTTCTCCTCCTCCTCCTCCTCCTCCGTCTCCGCCTCTTCCTCCCCCTCCCCCTCCTCTTCCTCCTCCCTCCTCCGGCTCCGCCTCCACCTCCTCCGCCTCCTCCGTCGACGCCTCCTCCTCCTCCTCCTCCTCCTCCTCCTCTCCTCCTCCTCTTCCTCCGCCTCCTCCTCCTCTGCGTCCGCCTCCTCCTCCTCCTCCTCCTCCTCCTCCTCCTCCTCCTCCTCCTCTTCCTCCTCCTCCTCATCCTCTTCCTCCTGCTCCTCCTCCTCCTCCTCCTCCTCATCCTCCTCCTCCTTTTCCTCTCCCGCTCCCCCTCCACCCCAAAGAGGGGCCGGGCGCCTGAGCAGCTCCAGGGACTGCGGGACCTGCCGAAGGGGGAGGGGGGCTCGCCAGGCGGCAGGCCGAGAGCGCCGCGGAGGGGGGAGGGGGGGGACCAAGAATCTTATGGGCATCATACATGTCCGCCTCCTCCTCCGCCTCCTCCTGCTCCTCCTCCTCCTCCTCTTCCTCCTCCTCCTCGTAATAATCATCACAAAAATTATGTAAACCATCAGACAGATATGAATACATAATGAATAACAGTAAGAAGAATGAGACTTCAATCATAACGATGGGAATACCAATGGTATTAGTAAAAAGTAATAGTAATAGCAATAAGAAAGAACAACAATGAAACCACGACTGCAAATACTACGAATGGTATTAGTTATAAGAAAAATACTATGACTAATAATAATCAGTCTCATCAGCATCATCATCAGCATCAACATCATCATCATCATCAGCATCATCATGATCGGACTGATCAGACTCATCATCATCATAATCATCAGCATCAGCAGCATCATCAGCATCATCAACATTATCAGCATCATCAACATCATCATCAGCATCATCAACAACAGCATCACCGTCATCATCATCAGCAGCAGCATCAACATCATCGCAGCAGCAACATCATCATCGTCCTCATCATCATCAGCAGCAGCATCAGCAGCAGCATCACCAGCATCATCATCATCATCATCATCATCATCATCGTCATCATCATCATCATCATCATCATCGTCAGCAATGTCATCATCAGCCTCATCATCATCGTCGTCATCATCAACAACAATCAGATCATCACCATCATCAACAGCATAATCATCATCCACGTCGTCAGCATCATCATCCTCATCATCAGCATCAGCATCACCATCATCATCATCATCATCATCATCATCATCATCATCATAAGCATCATCAGCAGCATCATCAGCATCATCATCACTACCACCATCATTACCAGCAGCAGCCGCATCATCATATCATTCCTCCTCCTCGTATTGTTCCTCCTCCGCCTTCCTCGCAGCCTCCCTTCCTCAGCATGTTTTCCTTGTTCCTCCTGTATCGAGCCTTGATCCTCCTCACGGTTCCTTCCTCCTCTTGAATTTCTCCTTCTTCATCAGTAACGGGACGAAGAGTGGAGACCCAGAGATCTGGCGAACCTAAAGCAAACACTATACGCACGGCGGGCCTTTCGCCATGTTGCCCCCGACCGCCAAAAAACGTCTACCCAGGTGACAGGGTCGAGAGATCCGGGGGGGCCACGTCTCGAAGAAGCACGGCGCCGAATATATGGGGTGGAGACTCGCCATCGCTCGGACGTCCATTTCTGGTGCATTTGTCGAGTTCACGCGTGTATTCTTCGCAAACAGAGCCAAGATGCTCTTCGATGGTCCTCACCGAGAAAATATAATATGCGCACGTCCGAGCGACGCCAAAAAGAGTATGGGGGAGGCGGCGGCGCAGGGAAAGGTGGGAGCCAGGGGCAGGGGGACTCCCCTCCCCCTCCCCTCCTCTCCCTCAGCCCTCGTCTCTTCACCTCCATCCTTCCTGCTCTTTCCTACTCTCTCCCCCTTCACCTCCCCCTTCGCCTCCCAGTCCTCCCCTAGGCAGCAGCGTATGCGCCCTACCCCTTCAGGTCAGGTTTCAGGAAACCGACTGGGGTTCAGAATTGAAAGGACGCCTGCAGCCAAGTGAACCCCAGCGGGGATGTCCGATGCCCCAGCGCCGATGAGAACCGCAGGGGTGGGTCTCGGCAGCGGTCGCAGATCCTCCGCCTTCGCCTCTGCCCCTCTCCTCCTCCCCCGTGTCCCTCCCCCCCGTCTCTCCCTGTCCTTCTGTCCCCGTCCCGCCCCCGTTTCTCCCTGTCATCCTCCTCCTCCGTTTCCCTCCCCCCCCATCTCTCCCTGTCCTCCTGTCCCCGTCCCCCCCCGTCCCCTCCGCCTCCGCTTGGTGCCACACGACCCCCATCCGAGAGGAGATTGGGTGCCAGAGGGAACAAGGGGGGAACGGAGGGCGAGGAGGAGCGTGGTTGCGTGATGAGCGGCCCCTGACACAAAGAAACACATGGCTGCCCATGTAACACACAAGTTGGTAGCTCTGTGTCGCTGCTGATTGTGAACCACGCCTGTATCGCAGAGCGGAGAGGGGCTGGGAAGGGGCATGCCACTTGTAGGCATAAGCTTTGCCCCGATGTGTGGCCGTCGCGATCGCCACGGTGACCTCCCACCGACCCAGATGTTTGGTTCGAGGTCGGATATCACCCAACGAGGAGCGGGAGGGGGAAAGTGGGAGACGAGGGAAGGATTGGGGGGCAGCGATAGGGGGTGACCAGCTCAGGGGGGTAAGCATCGACCTGAAATCGGCGATGCATCGCCGACAGATCGGCGATGTGCCTCCGATCGGCGAGGTGCCCCATGTAGCAAATCCGCACGTTACTTGGCGTGGTGGGCTATCAAGCCCACATCGGCGGTGAATGGGCAGCTGGGGGTCGATGCGCCGCCCGCTGACCTTTTTTTGTCCGACCCTAACGTTGCCCCCGAAGGATGACGAGAGGAGGACCTAGTCGGACGAGAGGAGGATATGCCAGAAGCGCCCGGCAGCGGGGCCGAAACCGGCTGCAGGCAGCAAATCTCGCAAAACCTTTTTTCCCCATCACCCCTTCGCCCGACCCGGCCCTCTCGATCCCTCCTCCCTTGTCGTCATCCCTCCTCCTCCTCCTCCTCCTCCTCCTCCTCCTCCTCCTTCTCCTTCTCCTCCTCCTCCTCCTCCTCCTCCTCCTCCTCCTCCTCCTCCTCCTGGAGTCTCCTCCTCCTCCTCCTCCTCCTCCTCCTCCTGGAGTGTCCTCCTCCTCCTTCTCCTCCTACTCCTCCTCCTCCTCCTCCTCCTCCTCCTCCTCCTCCTCCGCCTCCTCCTCCTCCTGTCCAAATCCCCCCCTTCACATTCCCCCCTGCCCAAGTCCCCCCCTCGCCCGACCCGAGAGGAGGGAACACTGGAGGAGAGAGCGGCGCGGCGGGCGGTTCTCCCGCGCCTTGTCCTCGAGAATGAGGCAGTCCGAATTGAAGCGCTCGTTCCCCGCCCCCTGCATCACGCCGTCCCACCACCCGTGGTAGGCACCTCCGTGAGGGACAGCGTTACAATCAGCCCATATGCAGTCAAAACGTGTATGAAGGACGGGTGGCAAGGACCCAGGACCCTTGGAGGCCGGGGTTGGAATTGTTGTTGGGCGGCGGGCGGCCAGTGAAAAGGGCAAAGGACGGGCTGCAGAGGCAAGGACACCAGGGCAACCTAGATGAAGGCGCGCGCCCTCACTAAACGCGGCGACTGTGGTAAGGATGCGCGGTAAGGATGCAAGGGCCTTGGAGGGCCATGATTGACGTTATTCGCACGAGGTTGGCCAGCGAAAGTCGCTGAGGCTGGGCCGCACGGGCAAAGCTGCAAAGGGCGAGTCTTGGAGAGCCGCTCACCCTTCCTGTGCTGGCTGAGTGCACTGGGGGGACCCGCGCAGGGGAGAAACATCGATCGGGCGGAGCGCAGTGGGCGGTGACCCGCATGGGTCGGCGGTGGACAAACCTCCCTTTAGTACACCTCACCTTAGTGAAGACAGCCTGGCGGACCTGGACCCGAAAAAAAGACGGCCGCGGCGCCCTCTCGCGAACCGAAAACGGTCAATTCCTTAATCGACGTGTCAGGGTAGGAGATCTGTCCACCCCCGAATGGGGGGTGAAGCAAAAGGCCCTGGAAGAACCCTTCAGGGCCACTCTGGGAGCCAGCAGGTGCCCAAGAGGCCCCTTTGGGAGCCAATCAGGCGCCCAAAGGGGCCCTCAAGGGCCCCTTTTGTAGGGCCCCCATCGGCGATGCATCCGCGATGCACCTGATGCATCGGTGATGCACCGGCGACGACGGCAAAAAAAAAAAAAAGGTCGCTCCACCGACCGAGCCGCATTGCCGATGTATCGGCGATGCGGCGCGATCCTCCGACCCCATCGACTCCGAACCCATCCAGGAGGCCTCAGAGTATCGCTGACGAGCAGCCGAGAGAGAGGGAGGGGGTAAACACGCATTGGGCTTTGGGCTGACACTATTCCATCGGCGGCGAGGCAGAGGCAGTTCGCTCCAGCGTGTGGCACTTCGGTGCAACCGAACAGCTGATTAGACGGCATGCAAGAGAGGGGAAAAAACTAGGGCGGCCGCGCGGAGGAAGGAGGAAGGAGGAGCACTCAGACGTGGAAGACTCACATTGTTGGAGACCTGGAAATGGGCACCAACACCAACACACGACGTTGCCTCCACAGGGAGAAGATGATCCTGGACTTCGGTGTTGGTGGTGATATTTCGGCCACCTTGAAGCCAGAATATGACCACCGTCACCGAGACCAGGATCCTCTTCCCTCGTTGGAGACACACCACCGATATTGGTGTCAAAGCCAACCTCTAGGCCTGCCACATTGGGCTGGCACGCGTCGCTGGCACGCGTCCCGAGGAGCGTCGACGCACCACAGGCTGGGTAGTCGAAGCCAATCTGGCGCCAATCTGGCAGGCCCAATCTGGCAAACGGGGGCAACCTGGCGAGGGAGCCAACGCGAATCCAGTCTGGCGAATAACCCAAATCCTCCAATCTGGCCAGGCCAGATTGGCCCTTGGGGCCCAATCCAACCTGCCAGCCTAGCCTTCGACTGCCCACACAGAAGACCGGAGCGCAGGCCCGGAAGCGGCACCGGGAGGCAGCGGCGGGCCGGCGGGCGAGGCCGCCCACGCCGCGACCGCCGGTGAGGAGGCCTCCGCCCTCCGCACCGGCCGCGGCCTCCTGGGAGCCTCAGGGGCCGTCTTGGGGGCTTCTCGATCTGCCTTGAGGCCTTCTTGCGAGCCTCATGGCCTCCAGGACGGCGTTGGAGGCAGCCAAGATGACGCCACCAGGGCCCAATGCAGCCCATGATGGCCCAAGAACAGCGAGTCCTCCCTGTCGCACCCCCAGGCGTTGCGATGAGACAGCGAACGAACGAACGCCGCAAGATCCGTTCGCACGCCGCGTGGGCAGCCGCACGCGCCCGTTTGGGCGTGGCGGTGGAGGCCGTAGCCTCGATGCGGAAAAACATCTGGTGTGTCTGAAGAACATGCAATGCGAGATACATGAAAAAGTTTGGAAAGGAGGGGGGGAAAGATCCTTGGAGTCGGTGTCGGCGCGGAGCTCGGTATGTTTGTGTGTGTAGGGGAGGGCGATGGGGGAGGGAGGGAGCGAGGGGAAAATCCTCGACGTCGATGTCGGGGTGATGCTCGTTCACGTGTTGATGTAGTGGTGCTCAATGTTAGACCACATGGTGGTGTCTTGGGCAGTTCGAACACACGTTCGGTCGTTAGGCTGCCCCGTGCGTTGGAACCGGGGCTGGGTGGAGGCCTGGCCTGCGCCGACGTAGGTGTGCAAGAACTTCGTCGTCCCAGCGTCTGTGCTGGCGCCCGTGTTGTCGATGTGCGTCTGGCTGCCAATGCAACGCCCTCCACGACCACCTGCTGGGCGCGTGGTTGGCCACTTTCGCTGCCATTCTCCATACTTTCTTTTTGTGTCGCGATCCAGCTGTCTATTTGGTGGAACTTCATGAGCTGCTCGGCGCGTCGCGTGGCGCGTTGGACGTATTCGACCCAAGGTTCTCCGAGGTCCGCGTCGTTGTCGTCGTCGGTGCCATCACTGCGACGTGTTGATGTCGATGCTGTGTCGTGTTGCGGCAGGTTGCTATTTCGATGAGACAAGGCGGGCGTTTCGCCAGGGATGTTCTTGACATTTCCAGCAGCTTCACGGATAAAGGGCGAGCCGTTTTCAAAATGTGGTTCTCGCCTTGGCTTTTTTGGGGGGGGGGCGCGCGCGGCCGAACCAGTTCAGAGGCGCCAGGCCTCGGCCACCCAGTGGCCAGAAACAAAACCAGATCGGAGGGGAGATGCGAGGCCGCAGGGTCGCCTCCTCGTGGGTGACGAGGCGAGGCCACCCCGTGGCCAAAACAGCTAACCCCACAAAATTAATCCGATCACGAACCCTCGCCTTGGCGAGGTATCGGGATGAAACCCGCATCGTTCACGTCCTCTCGGAGGGCCAACGATGCGCACGGCAAAACAGCGGGAGGAGTCTCCAGAGACCAAAACGGCAATCCCCTCTGCTGCAACCGAGGGGCGGGGAAAGGAACCGCCTTCCCCCGCCAGAAGCGGAGGCAGAGGACCTGGGGGGGCGGCCTTAGGGTGCTCGCCGAGCTCCTCCCCTACCACCCCCCCGTGACCGCGGATCCCGCCCACGCTGCACGAGGCAGCGGCACGATTCCCGCTCTTCGTGCCGACTGCTACCCCCGAACTGGGGCCCGCGGCGCTGCCGACGGCAGCGCGACGACAGCCGTCGAACGGGGGACCGCGGCACTCGGATGGCCCACGGGCCTCGCGACTGCCACTTCCTCCAGAGAGGCGAGCCGCGCACATTCGTCTGAAAAATACGCAGCCGTTTCACTGATGGAGTGCGGGTCGTTTTCAGAATGTGGCTCCCGCCTTAACGCCACAGACAATTGTCTTCAAAGCTCGTAACAATCGCAAGGATGGAGTGCGGGTCGGTTTTAGGATGTTTCTCTTGTTCTAGCGCCAAAGAATTATACTGAATATGATTCAGCAGCTTAAAGAATGTAGGGCGGCTCATTTTCAAAATGCGGCGTTCGCCTGAGCGCCGTGGACATTCATCTTAAACGTTCGCAACAGGTTCACGCATGAAGGGCGGGCAGTTTTCCAAATGTGGCTCTCGCTTTAGCTCCTCGCACCCTCGTCTTGAAAATTCGCAGCAGCTTCGCAGATTGAGGGTGGGTGGTCTTCAAATGTAGCTCTCGCCTTCGCGCCGAAGTGACGGGAGGGAGCCAGATGATGGAGGAGGGAGGGGACGAGGGCGAGGAAGAGGAGAGGGGGGCAAAGACGAGGAAGAGGCAGGCGGAGGGGAGGGGAAGGGGGGTTGGAGGGAGGAGGAGGAAGAGGAATGGGATTGAGGATTGGGGTGAAAACGAGGATGAGGATGAGGATGAGGGCTGTAACTATGGACTCGGCTATGCACAACATGCTACCAAGCACTGCCTGTGAACGCCGCTCGAAGCTAGTGCACACAAGAGCTGCGAGGGTTGCCACACGCACCTAATGCGGATGAAGAGGAAGAGAATGCGCATAGGCGAAGATAATGCCCGAGGTCAGTGCGGATAGCTTGAATCGGCGCTGGACCCGTCCCTGGCGAGCGGAGCACGCCAGTGACGGCGCCGAAGCGGAAGGGGAATGGGCAGCGCCGACCTCTGCGACAGCCGCGAGGACCTACGGAAGTGTGCGTGCACGTCGTGCTCCGCTCTTCGGGATGAGGGGGACGGTGATGAGCAGCACAAGACTTGCCAACACTCGGACGCCCATTCCCCGCGTATGTTTGCGGTGTCGCGCGTGCTTCCTTTTTGTTGCTCGGTAATCCAGGATATGCTCCCCGATGGTCCTCGCCGAGACGAGGTGCACACGTCGGAGCGAGGCAAAAAAGGAGACGGCGGCGGCAAAAGCTGGGGAGACCAAAAGGTACCGATACCACTACTCCCCGGACCTCTCCCGGGGTGCGTTCTGACCAGGATGTCGAAGCGAATCCAACGGTGGCGACGAGAACCTCCCAGGAGAGCGAAAAAGGGGGAAAACGGGCGAGGGGGTAGAGGTATGGATACCTGTTCCTCCTCTGAGTCTGAGCGAGGCCAGAAAGAGAGACGGCGGCGGCAAGAGCAGGGAGCCCCAGAAAGGCTGCGGGGAGCAACCATGATGGGCATGTTTCTACCACAACCACCATAAGTAGGAGGGGGAGGGGGACCTCCTCCTCCTCCTCCTCCTCCTCCTCCTCTTCCTCTTCTTCTTCCTCCTCCTCCTCCTCCTCCTCCTCCTCCTCCTCCTCCTCCTCCTTCCCCCCTCCAACTTAAGGTGGTGGTGGTGGTGGGAAACAGGCCCATCAAACCACGGGCACGCCGCCGGTGGGAGCCCCACCGCGCGCCATCGCTGCAGCAGCACAAGGTGCCGACGGGCTCCCAGCGACGGCGTGTCATGGGTGCTCCGTCTCCCTCCCGACAGGCCTTTGAACACGGCCACCATCTGCCGCTGAGTGTGGAAGCGGGCCTGCTGCACGGCGCACATGATCGCCTCGGTGCCGCTCATGTGGAAGGAGACCTCGCGGAGGGGACGGCACGGGGGCGAAGGGTACCAGTCAAGCCAGCGCTCTCGGGAATCCCCCCCCCCCACTCCCTCCCTCCCTTCCTCCTCCTCCTCCTCCTCCCCTCCTCCTCCTCCTCCTTTCCTCCTCCTCCTCCTCCTCCTCCTCCTCCTCTCCTCCTCCTCCTCCTCCTCCTCTCCTCCTCCTCCTGCTCCTCCTCCTCCTCCTCCTCCTCCTCCTCCTCCTCCTCATCCTCCTCCCTTCCTCTTCCTCCTCCTCCCCTCCCCTTCTCCCTCCTCTCCTCCTCTCATCCTCCTCCTCCTCTCCTCCTCCATGCCCCATTCATCCCTCATACAGTCTCCGGATTCGCTCTCCTGAGCACTTACTTCCAAGTCGACAACGTCTCGATACAACTTCCTGCTCATGCTGTTCCTCAACCGTTTCCTCCGATTCCTCCTCCTCCTCCTCCTCCTCCTCCTCCTCCTCCTCCTCCTCCTCCTCCCTCCTCCTCCTCCTCCTCCTCCGCTCCTCCTCCTCCTCCTCCTCCTCCTCCTCCTCCTCCTCCTCCTCCTCCCTCATCCTCCCTCCTTCCTCTCCTCCTCTCCTCCTCCTCCTCCTCCTCCTCCTCCTCTCCTCCTCCTCCTCCTCCACCTCCTCCTCCTCCTCCTCCTCCTCCTCCTCCTCCTCCCTCCTCTCCTCCTCCTCCTCCTCCTCCTCCTCTCCTCCTCCTCCTCATCCTCCTCTCCTCCTCCGCCTCCTCCTCCTCTCCTCCTCCTCCTCCTCCTCCTCCTCCCTCCTCCTCCTCCTCCTCCTCCTCCTCCTCCTCCTCCTCCTCCTCCTCCTCCTCCTCCTCCTCCTCCTCCTCCTCCTCCTCCTCCTCCTCCTCTCATCATCATCATCATCATCATATCATCATCATCATCATCATCATCATCATCATCATCATCATCATCATCATCATCATCAGCAGCAGCAGCAAGCAGCATCAGCAGCATCATCATCAGCATCAGCATCAGCATCAGCAGCATCATCAGCATCATCATCATCAGCATCATGATCATCACATCATCATCATCATCGTCATCATCAGCATCATCATCATCATCATCATCATCATCATCATCATCGTCATCGTCATCGTCATCGTCATCATCATCATCATCTTCATCATCATCATCATCATCATCATCATCATCATCATCATCGGCATCAGCATCATCATCATCAGCAGCATCAGCATCAGCATCAGCATCATCATCATCATCAGCAGCAGCAGCATCGTCAGCATCATCATCACCATCATCAGCAGCAGCAGCAGCCGCATCCTCATCATCAGCATCATCAGCATCAGCATCATCATCATCATCAGCATCATCATCAGCATCATCATCACCATCATCATCACCATCATTATCATCATCACCATCACCATCACCATCAGCATCAGCATCATCATCAGCAGCAGCAGCATCAGCATCAGCATCAGCATCATAATCATGATCATCGACATCATCATCATATTCATCATCAGCAGCAGTATTGTCATTATCACCATCATCATCAGCATCATCATAATCAGCAGCAGCATCAGCATCATCATCACCATCATCAACACCACCGTCATCACTTTCGTCCTCATCATCAGAGTCGTCATCAGCAGCATCAGCAGCAGCATCAGCAGCATCATCATCAGAAGCAGTACCTTCATCGTCATCATCATCAGCAGCAGCATCATCACCACCAGCAGAAGCAGCAGCACCAGCATATCCATCATAAGAATCATCCTCTGCGTGAGCTCCAGAGGCGGGCCTCCTCTTTGCGATAGATCTTCAGGAGCATCTCGATGTTCTCCTTCACTACGGGGTGCATGGGGCCGAGGCAGGGCCCGAGCTGCTGCGAGAGCTCGTGGCCCTTGAGCATAAACTCCTTGAACCTGGAGCGGGGCAGAGGCGGAGGGGAAAGGCAGGGGACAGGGGAGGAGAGGCATGAGGACGACGACGAGGCAGGAGAGGAGCACACGAGGACGACGATGAGCATGAGGGTGATGAGGATGAGGATACGGCGGGTTCGTGTCGTACCGACTTCGCCGTGGGTTTATGACACCGCGGGGATCGTTCAATCTTGAACGGCAGGCCGTTTCTGAAACGGCACATCGTTCATTATCGACCGATTCCGGGTCACCGGCGGCGTGCAACGCTAAACGCGGGCGGCGGGGTCGCCGCCAGGCGGCACGCCGCAAAGCTTCCGTAGCAAGGAGCCAGAAGGCGCCGGAGCGCGCCCTGCGCGGGCTGCCAGGGGATGAGGAGGAGGAGGAGGAGGAAGAGGACTGGGACGAAGGTGAAGATGATGGGCGAGGAGGGGTTGCGGATGCGGATAAGCATGCGGTTGAAGGTGAGGAGGACCAGGGCGAAGACGAGGATTGGGATGCTGGGCTGATGACGAGGACGCAGATGCGGACTTGGATCATAATTGTGATGGGGGTTGGCATGTGAGTAGCAATGAGGATGGGGATGGTGAGGGAGACGGTGAGGACAGGAGATCACGATGTGGATGATGACGATGCGGAGCTAGATCATAAGACGGTGACTAATTTGAGGATGAGGAAAACCAGGAAGAAGACGAGAACGCGGAGAGGGACGAGTAAGGAGGAGAGGGAATTGGGGGATGGGAAGTGGGATGGGCGAGGGCGAGGGTGCGATGAGGAAAAGGAGCAGGGGTGGAGAGAGGGAGCAAGAAAGAACGAGGAACCGCGTAAAACCGAAGCAGTTGACGCCGTAAGAGCCAGAGGCATCCAGGAATCTGTTTCCTGGCGCGGGGATCACGGGGTTCTGCGGGCAAGCAGTGGTGATCATCATCATCATCATCATCATCAGCATCATCATCATCATCATCATCATCATCATCATCATCATCGTCGTCGTCGTCATCATCATCATCATCATCAGCATCATCATCATCATCATCATCATCATCATCATCATCATCATCATCATCATCATCGTCATCGTCATCGTCATCGTCATCGTCATCGTCATCATAATCATCATCATCATCCTCATCATCAGCATCAGCATCAGCATCAGCATCAGCATCAGCATCAGCATCAGCACAATCATCATCATCATCATCACCATCATCACCATTATCATCAGGAGCACCGTCAGTATCCCCCTCCTCGTCCTCCACAACTTCATAACCATCATCACTGTTGCCACCATGATCGGCATCACCGTCATCATCGTCAACATTTGTAGTATCGTCATTAGTTGTATCACCCACATCTATCATCTGCAACAGCATCATCGGCATCGACATCAACATCAACATCATCATCAGCATCATCATCACCATCAGCATCACCTCCACCACCACAATCACCATCATCGTAATCATCGTCGGCATCATCATCAGCATCGTCATCAGTATCATCATCAGCATCATCAGTATCGGTAGCATCATCAGCAGCAGCATGATCAGCAGAATCATCATCAGTATCAGCATCATCATCAGCAGCAACATCATCAGAATCGGCATCAGTATCATCATCTTCATCTTCAACAGCATTAACAGTATCAACATCATCATCACAATCAGCATCGTCGTCAGCAGTATCACAATACATCATCATCATCATCATCATCATCATCATCATCATCATCATCACCAGCATCATCGCCATCATCATCACCAGCAGCATCATCGAATCATTGTTATCGTTACAAGTATCATCATCATGAGCAGCAGCATCAGCAAAGGCATCACCATAATCAACTACAGTACAAGCAACAGCGTCACCATCACCATAGCCATCAGCATACGCTTATCTCCAACGAATGTCATCAACCATGATCCCTTCCGTCGTTAACCATCCACCATCACCCTCGGCCATCAATCACACAACGTCAACCTCGCCATCACCATCATCCTCGGCATCCGTATCCTCATCCCCATGCGCATCCTCATCCTCATCAGCAGCAGCCATCATTCCAATCCTGATCCACATCATCTCATTTCTCATCCAGTCCTCCCCATCCTAATCCAGCTAACCCTCCTCTGATGGTATGCATTCCAGCACTCTCACCCCAACAGATACTGCGCCGACCCTGTCGGCGTGTGTGTGGGGGAGTCCTGGGTTGGTCGTCCAGGGATGGTCGTTGGAAACGCCGTTCCCCCGCGCCCCCCCCCCCCCCCCTGCGGCCATACCCCCTGCGGCCATCCCAAGACTTAATCAAGTCGAAGGGATAACTTCCCTTTGATCACTTCCATTTGATCTCTCCCCTCCTCCCTGCGTCCCCCCTTCCCTTTGATCACTTCCCAGGGGGGCGGGGGGGAGCGGGGGGGGAATTCCATGAGGCCAGGGGGAGAGGGTCCTGGGGGTTCTTCCCGCCCACCCACCCCTCCCACACTCCATGGAGGTACTCGGATAATCTTGGGGCTAGATTGGTTGTCTCTTGGACACCTAGGCAAGCTCGGCATCAGCATCACCATCACCACCATCATCAGCATAATCATGATGATCATCAGTATCACCAGCATAATCAGCATTCTGATCATCAGCATCAGCGTCACTATAAGCATCACCAGCATATGTATCGTCATTGTGATATGCATCGTCAACATCTTCATCAGCAGCATCACCATCAGCATCATTAGACGCATCGTCATAATCCTCATCAGCATCATCAGCATCAGTATCATCATCGTCGGCTTCATCATTATCAGCAGCATCACCATCATCAGCATCGTGATCAGCATCATCGGCAGCAACAGCATCATCAGCATCATCAGCAGCATCGGCAGCCTCATCCCCATCATCATTAGCAGCAGCATCAGCAGCAGCATCAGCATGATCGGCAGCATTATCACCGGCAGAATCAACAGCATCACCAGCATGATCAGTATCAGCATCACCATCATACGGCCAAACCTAAGACGAAAGAAGATTCTGTCAAAGATGAAACCCTCCAGCGACCAAACTGAAGAAATGCGAGGGAACCCTCCTCCAGGATGCACAAGAACATCCAAGAAGCACGAAAACCATGGCGGCACCCTCCCCGAATCACCCTCGATAATACATCTCGGTCCGACCGTACTCGGCAGAATCATCAGTAGTAGCATTAGTAGGTTTGAGATAATGAGTACCACTAGTATCATCAGCATCATGTTCATAATCCTCATATTAATCCTGAACCTAATCCTACTGCGTATCCACATCCTCACCCTCACCCTCTGCCGTCTCCTCTTCATCCCCATCCTCACCATCCTCACCATAAGAATCACCATGAGCAGCATCAACAGCATCATCATCAGCATGATCAGCATCATCAGCAGCATCAACATCCTCAGCATCAACATCATCACCATCAGCATCCGCATCAGTATCATCATCATCATCCGCAGCAGCAGCATCATCAGCATCAGCATCAGCATCAGCATCATCAGCATCAGCATCAGCATCAGCATCAGCATCAGCATCATCATCAGCATCATCATCATCATCATCATCATCATCATCATCATCATCATCATCGGCAGCAGCAGCAGCAGCATCGTCATCAGCTTCCTCCGCCTCCTCCTCTGCATACGTCTTCTCCTCCTCTTCCTCCTACCCTTCCAGGTCTCATCATCCTCCCCATCCACCATCACCCCATAAGTGTACCAGTATCATGTTCAGCATCAATCGCCCGCCCCTCATCCTGCATAAGCCCGGAACATCATCCCGTATCCGCTCGCGTTCCTCAGATCGCACCCATCCTCTCTATTCATCATGCGGTTCCTCATCATATCCATCATCCTCCTCCGCATCAGCAGCATCATCATCATCACGAGTATAATCGTCATCAGCATCATCAGCATCATCCTCGGCATCGTCATCAGCATCAGCAGCATCATCATCATCGTCATCATCATCGTCAGCATCAGCACCATCCGCATCATCATCAGCATCAGCAGCAGCATCAGCACCAGCGGCATCAGCAACCAGATCATGATCAACAACACCATCATCATCATCATCATCATCATCATCATCATCATCACCACCAGCATCATCATCAGCATCAGCATCAGCAGCATCATCATCCATCCCGCCCGTCAACGTACCAACACTCGCCCTGCATCATTCCGCATCACATTGCCCATCCAGGCGTAGCGTAGGCCTGCGCCTCCGCTTGCGCTGTTTCCTCCCCCCCCTGCCCATGCTTAGCGGTTCCTTTCCCAAGTCGTCGGAAGCGGGGCCGCGCGCGAGCGCCGTCCGTCCGTTACGCGGGAACGCGTTCCAATACCAGCATCAAGCTGCGTCACAATGGATTCATATGGCGTGGGAGGGGCAGTGGGCATGGGCGGCATGGGCAGGCAGGGGCCGCTGACTCGTTCGTCCTGGCCAAATGTTCTCACCCTCCTCCTCCTCCTCCTCCTCCTCCTCCTCCTCCTCCTCCTCATCCTCCTCCTCCTCCTCCGCCACCTCCTCCACCATCCTTCCTCCTCCTCCTCCATGCTCCTCCTCCTCCTCCTCATCCTCCTCCTCCTCCTCCTCCTCATTCTCCTCCTCCTCCTCCTCCTCCTCCTCCTCCTCCTCCTCCTCCTCCTCCTCCTCATGTCCCGCATCCTCCGCCTCCACCTCCTCCTCATTTCCCTCCTCCTCGTCGTCCTCCTCCTTCTCATGCCGTAGCCTCATCGTCCTCCCCCTCGTCCTTCTCCTCCTCCTCCTCCTCCTCAGCGTCATCATCGTCATCATCCTCATCAGCATCATCAGCATCGTCATGATCCTCATCATCATCATCATCATCATCATCATCATCATCATCATCATCAGCAGCATCATCAGCATCATCAGCAGCATCATCATCATCATCAGCATCATCATCATCACCGTCATCAGCAGCATCAGCAGCATCATCATGAGCATCATCATAAGCAGCATCGTCATCAGCATCAGCATCAGCATCATCATCATAAGCATTAGCAGCATCCTCATAATCAGCAGCAGAAGCGTCATCCTCGTCGTCATCATCAGCAGCATCATCTTCACCAGCATCAGCATCATCATCAGCAACAGCATCATCAGCAACATCAGCATCATCATCAGCAGCATCATCATCAAAATCAGCATCCTCATCATTACCATCATCATCAACACATGCATCAACATCAGCATTGTCGTTTTCAGCATTATCCGCATCAGCATCACCATCAGAATCATCATCATCCGCAGCAGCAGCATCATCAGCATCAGCATCAGCATCCTCAGTAGCAGCATCCGCAACATCAGCTTCATCATCATCCTCAGCATCACATCATCATCATCATCAGCATCAATATCAGCAACATCATAGTCGTCGTCGTCATCAGCAGCATTATCATCAGCATCGACATCAATAGCAGCATCAGCATCAGCATCAACATCAGCAGCATCATCAGCAACATCAGCATTAGCAGTAGCAGCATCATCAGAATCATCGTCAGCACCACCATCAGCATAAGCATCAGCATCCGCATCAGCATCAACAGCATCATCAGCATGAGTACCAGCATCATCATCATCATCATCAGAATCAGCAGACCCAGCAGCATCATCATCATCAGTTTGGACATCAGCATCATCAGCAGCAACAACGCCATCAACACCCTCGTCATCAGCATCATGGTTATCAATATCCGCATCCTCCGCAACACCATCATCAGCACATCATCATCAACAGCCGACCATCATCGTGATCCGCATCATCATCAGCAGCATCATCGGCAGCATTACAATCGTCGTCATCATCATCAGCAGCATCACCAGCGTCATCATCAGAATCATCAGCATCGCCAGAATCAGAATCAGCATCAGCATCATCTGCGGCAGCACCACCAACAGAAGCTTCATCATTAGCATCATCATCAGCAGTATCATCAGCACCACCATCATCATTAGCAGCAGCACCAGTGTCGTCATCATCATCAGCAGCATCATCGGCATCAGCAGTAGCATCATCATCAGCATCAGCATCACCGCCAACACCACCATCATCAGCAGCATCAGCAGCAGCAGTAGCATCAGCAGCGTCGGCATAAGCATCATCAGCATCATCATCTCAGTCATAATCACCAGAATTCTAACAATGATAATCAGCATCACCATTATTGTCGTCATACCCGCACTGGCATCGGCATCACCAAGATCCTCACCATCAGTAGCATCATTAGCATTGTCATCAGAAGCATCACCATCTTCAGCACGACTACGATCGCTATCGTCATCATCAGCAGCAGCACCATTAGCATCCACATCATAGACAACCTCAACCGGTTCGTCCCCCTCATTGCTCTCAACCTCAATCACCATCATCATGGTCATCATGACCGTCATCCATGTCATCCACCTCATCACCTCAACCTCATGATCGTCATCGCCGTCATCCACATTATCATCCCCATCGTCCTCTATATACGAGTCATCGTCTCCCTCCTCCGCATCATCACCATCACATCATTATCATCACCTTCATCTAGATCAGCATTATCATCATCATCATCATCATCATCCTCCTCCTCCTCCTCCTCCTCCTCATCATCATCATCATCATCATCGTCGTCGTCGTCGTCGTCGTCATCAGCAGCAGCAGCATCATCAGCATCATCATCAGCAGCATCATCGTCAGTGTAATCATCACCATCAACAGCAGCATCATCATCACCACCAGCAGCATTGTCACCACCAACACCATCCTCATCATCACAACCCTCGTCATCATCTCCATCAACATAATCCATCATCACCGTCATCTGCACCGTCATGCTCACCCTAATCCTAGTCTGTCTCCTCATCCTCATTCATATCCTCATCATCCTCATTCCCATCCTCCTTTTCATCCGCACCCTGATAGCACTCCTCCTCCTCATTATCCTCCTCCTCCTCTTTCTCCTCCTCCTCTTTCTCCTCCTCCTCCCCTGTTATACGTGGTTTTCCCAACCATCCTGTGGTGTTGGGTCCTCGTTTTGAAGAGACAGCGCCCCGCGTTCACTCCTTCCTTCCTTCCTTCCTCCCTCTGCCCCCTCCTCCCTCCTCCCCCTCCGCGTCAGCCACACCCATTTCGGCACACCCTTCACACGCTTCGTGGCCCCATAGGGAGCCCCACCGAGGGCCCCAATGGCTGCGTCCGCATGGCGGCACCGCACCCATTTCGGAACACCCCTCACACGTTTCGTGGCCCCATAGGGAGCTCCACCGAGGGCCCCAGTGGCTGCGTCCGCATGGCGGCACCGCACCCATTTCGGCACACCCCTCACACGCTTCGTGGCCCCATAGGGAGCTCCACCGAGGGCCCCAGGCTGCGTCACCGGCACACCCCTCACACGTTTCGTGGCCCATAGGGAGCTCCACCGAGGCCCCAGTGGCTGCGTCCGCATGCACCACCCATTTCGGCACACCCCTCACACGTTTCGTGGCCCCATAGGGAGCTCCACCGAGGCCCCAGTGGCTGCGTCCGCATGGCGGCACCGCACCCATTTCGGCACACCCCTCACACGTTTCGTGCCCCATAGGGAGCTCCACCGAGGGCCCCAGTGGCTGCGTCCGCATGGCGGCACCGCACCCATTTCGGCACACCCCTCACACGTTTCGTGGCCCCATAGGGAGCTCCACCGAGGCCCCAGTGGCTGCGTCCGCATGGCGGCACCGCACCCATTTCGGCACACCCCTCACACGTTTCGTGGCCCCATAGGGAGCTCCCTCTCATTCGTTCAACCTGCTTTGCGGTACTCGTAACTGCATATTGTTGGG